ATAATTTTCAATATACTATAAAATTACATATAGACATGGAGCAGCACAACTTTTTCTAAAACATTGATAATAATCGGAAAAGTTTTATTATATTGATTGCTGAAGGGGAATAATGATGCCGAAAATTCAGCCTTGATTAAATAAAACAAATATATGTATATGTCATTTTACATTATATTGAAAAATAATCAAACTTATACTACACACTATTTATCCACACACTGCGGCATTTATTAAATGTAAAAAAAATTGCTACATTTTTATTTTTAAAAAAATTAATAACTGCTTTCTTATCATATGTAGTTTCAAATGAAATTATCACTCAGTCATTATTGCTTTTATTACCATTAATAATAATAATAATAATAATAATTATATTAATTAATATTAGAGTGATTTCTGAAGGATCAGGTGACTCTGGAAACTGGAATAATGAAGGTGAAAATTCATCATCCCTAAAAAATTAAAATACCTAAAAAATTAAATGATACACTACTTTTGAACAGTTATTTTATAGTGCAATAACATTTCACAATTGTACAATTTTTACTGTATTTTTGATTAAATAAATGGCACTGGCGCAGTAGGTAGTGCTGTCGCCTCACAGCAAGAAGGTCACTGGGTCGCTGGTTCGAGCCTCGGCTCAGTTGGGGTTTCTGTGTGGAGTTTGCATGTTCTCCCTGTGTTTGCGTGGGTTTCCTCCGGGTGCTCCGGTTTCCCCCACAGTTCAAAGACATGCGGTACAGGTGAATTGGGTAGGCTAAATTGTCCGTAGTGTATGAGTGTGTGTGTGAATGAGTGTTTGTGGATGTTTCCCAGAGATGGGTTGTGGCTGGAAGGGCATCAGCTGCGTAAAAACTTGCTGGATAAGTTGGCGGTTCATTCTGCTGTGGCGACCCCAGATTATTATAAGGACTAAGCCGACAAGAAAATGAACGAATGAATAAATGGAGCGTTGGTGAGCTGAAGCTTATTTCAAAACATTTAAAAACCCCAAACCCCAAACTTTTGACCGGTATATGTATATGTAATTTTATATTATATTGAAAAATAATATTTTATATTACAT